ACCACTGTCACGTGACTCCAAGTGCAGAGCAATTTGCTGGCTCCCACCTGCTCACGGTAAAGCCAGGTTCATTGCCAGGTGCATGGGGACAGAGGGATCTAGCATCCTTCCTATTCCCCCAGAGCTCATTTCCACCAGTCCCGGATCTTTTAGAACATATTCCTTGCGGATGGATCATCTACTCAGTTCAAAGCCATCAGGAACCATGGAAGCCAGCGTCGTATTTATCGATAGCGAGACAGGTGGTTCGCTGGTTTCAAGAGGCCTGACTTCTTCTTCGTTCTTTGCCTGCCAGGGAGGGAACCATCACAGCTAAAATGAATCCCAAGGAAGAAGAAGTGACAATAATTACAGAGGTAAGTCCCCGAGGGATGGGCGTGTGTGTGCACTGTGCTCCTGTCACGTGTGCTGGACCAGCGACAGGCAGGTATCACTCACCTGCCACACGCAGACGGTGCTACTTGGCACCGGTGGAGAAGGGGGCGGGAGCTGTAGGGACCGCGGCTCTGCAGGAGCTCGAGGGGCCCCTCCTCAGTGCTCTGACCCTGTTCGGTCAGCGTCATGAATTCTGACACACGGCAGTTCCAAGGCGCCAGCTGCGACCGGGTCCTGCTCAGTGGAAGCGCCATCGGTTTCCAGAGAAATTCAGAACGAAGGTAACTGTCGTCGATTATAACTGGTCATCCAATCCTGTGTCCCGTGGAGTCCTGCCCTTCTAACTCACTGTGTGCCACATCACCGCACCCTGCCTAGAACAGAAGAGGAAGGCCGGCTCCCACCTGCACGCTGCAGACCCCCCAGCGCTGCATCTCTCATGACGCGGGAGCTCACTCACCTGAGACCACAGAGGCAGAAATGAAGACAATGTGCTGTTTTCCACGGAGCACTTCGAAAAGCCTGGAGGAGCGCATGCTGCAGATAGAACCACACGTAACTCTACGTGTGCTTATTCATTCATGCAACCAGCATCGATCTTTCCTCTGGCCCCTGAGGATTCGGCAGTGAACAAATCCTGTGCCCTCGTGGAGTTTACATTCTCTCTAATTTGAGGTCGCGCTGGATGGCTTCCCATTGTTGGAGGATCGAATCATTATTGGAAAGCCAAAAAAGGACCTCTCAGGCATCTACTCTAAGCCAGGAAAAACCTAGACTTGAAGTATGAACCTTACCGGCACGCCTCAGTAATAGCAACGCTGCCGAATCGAAGCTGAGGACCTCCTGAGCTAAGAACGCTTCCTACCCGGTGGGCCCTGAAGGGAGAGGCCCAAGGGAGGCTGGGCCCTGCACCCAGAGGACGAGTCACAGAAATCAGTCGCCCAGACCAAGGGCAAGCGGACGCCATGTCCGTTCCCTGGTTGGGACCTGGGTCCCCTCTTCTGTAATCAAAATTCCTGTCTTCTCCAACCCCGATGGCCAAGGGCACTGATGTGTCGTTGGAACCCAGCTCTGCAGCCTAGGTGACATTTCTTTGAACCCTTATATCATTAAAACCCACATTCTGTGTTCCAAGTTTATTCCTGTATAAAAAACTTTTAAATTTCCAATTTTCGAGAAAAAAATTTTAATAACTTTGGTGGAGTGGGGAGAGGTTCTAGGTCTACCTTGCAATTTCTTTTACACCCAGAGATGCTTCACCCCAGTTTGAAAAATCTCTAGCCCTAGAAAAGTTTAAAGCTTGAAACCTGAGAGCATTCGGCCCTAACATTTTATGAAGAAAATTTTAGAAAACATAAAATGGAAAAAGAAAACAAAGCTTTCACTGTTAAAAGGTTTCTCCCTTTTTCAAAAAGAGCTGATGACATTTTTCTTTACACTGAAACTTCTGTGGAGATTGAACACATATGTTCGTCATTCTCCACCTGATAAGAAGATGAAGAAGCAGAGAAGCCCATCCCTGGAAACCCGTACTTCGAGTCTGAGGTCGTCCTGTGCTGATCGTTTGGCTTGAGAAACCGCTTTTCAAGGACATGTCTATTTTGAGCAGAGTAGATGAGGATGAGATCCCGTCCACTGTCCCTTCCCTTCACGCGCACTCGACTTCAGGGCAGGGGTCCCCAGGGCAAGGTGGAGGTGTTCATTTTGATAACCTAGAAATCGCAGGCCTGCTCCTCCGTTATGATTCGTTCCCGACTTACACACGCACCGAGCGCTGACTCTTCCATTTGCGTTTTGACAAAGGAGTTCGTGGAAAACGATGAGGATGCAGCTGTGAGAAGAAAGAAGCCTTCGAAGGTGCGAGGACCAAAAAGAAAACCACAGGTAGGGAGTGACGAGGAGAGGGACTGTGTAGCAGGCTGCTGGCTGGCGACTCACCTGCCCCCGCAGGAGCCACGCACCCCTCCCTGGGAGAAGCCTGGATGTGCAAGGGGGGCCCAGGACCTGTGGGGGACCCTCCAGATGCCCCTCACTATTTGGACTGGTTTTCCTCGGAAGTTTTGCCCGTCCCCTGAGAGATCTAGACAGGATGAAAGAGCCCCGTCCTGCTGCCGTCACGGGAGGCCGTGAACTAAGACGGCGGTAGGTGGCAGTGCAGGACCACACGTCCCCGGCAGCTCCCCCTTCTCCAGCTGCAGTTCTGCTCCAGTCTAAGGGGGAGGCTAATTCCCGCCGCCCCGGCCTGCCCGCCCTCCCTCCCCCAGCTGTCCTCGCCGCGGGAGTGGCCCTCCTCGGCTCGGAGCATCCCCGTGCAAGGTCAACGTTCTCCAGGTAAATCAGTTCCCTTGTAAGAGTCCTTGCCCTCCGTGGAGGGACAATTTGTTTGGAATACTCGAGATGCCAGCAGGGGAGGGAGAGGTAGGGAACGCCATTTTGAGCCAGCAGCCACGTGATAGGGCTGCCTGGAGCAGGGTGGCTGGGAGGTGGGGCCGTGGGGAGGGCACCAGACATCACAAGGCATGGAAGAAACCCCCTCTCTGACTCCCCGTCCCCAGCACACTCGGGCCGGGGCTGGGGCGAGCTGGGCAGAGGCGCAGGCTTCTGCTTCTGCAGCTGTGATGGAGCTTCCCAGTAGAGGGCTCAGGGGGCAGGAGGTGCTGTCAGGCCACGTGGCCGGGCCCTCTGGCCTCTCAGGGAACTTTAACCCCTTCTTGCAGGGCTGGTGGTGACTCTGCAGCCAGGGATAGGAGACCCACAGAGGCGGCAATGATCCAATGCAGATAGAAAGAGTTCAAGTCCTTAGTTCAAAGGTCATAGTCACAGTGAGCAGTGGTGTCCAGGGCTGGGGGGTCTGGAGCTTGAACTGAGCAGAGGGGACACAGAGGGTGCAGAGAAGAACACTCCAGGCATCATCTCATTAATTTAAGCTGCACAAGAGCCCCCGTCCCAGAATGACATAGCTGTCTTTGGGGCATTGCGAGAAATCTAGAATAATGTTTCTTAACCTGGGTGACACTTCAAAATCATTTGGGGATTTTTTTTTTTTTTAATTAGATGCCTCAGGTTCACCCCAGGCTATTTACTTAAATCAAAATCTCTGTGCTTTTGCACAATGCCTGGTACATAGCAGCATCTCATGAAGGGGCTGTTTTCATTTCCCTTCTTCCACAGATGAGGAATGAAAGGAAATGAGAAAATTAAATACCCTGCCTAGAGCCCCCACGTAAATCTGAGTTCGGAGGCAAGATTTTGTCTGACCCTAAAGACCGTCACTCAACCGTGGCCTCCTCTGCATTTGTGCTCACCTGCCCACCCTCCTCTGAGAGTCTGGGGGAGAAATGAGAGGCTATTCTTTGCCCCGAATAATCCAGGGACCCTTGAACGACCGTTTCCAAATGAGGTGGGGTTAGCATCAAGTAGTTTGGTTGTGACTTTCCTGCTTCCTTTTGTCCAGATTTCTGCAGAGCTCTATGCATTCTTCCTAGAAAAATATGAAATATTCATTTGATTTTGGGATGCCTTGGTGATTTCACAAGAAACATCCTAGAAAAATTCAGGGTTGACACTGCTTCCCTGGGTAATGTGACCACATAGACACAGGTAGCAGGGACCACGGACGGTTATCTAGATCAGAATAGTTTGAAGACTTGGCGCCTCCTTAAGTGACCCACTGCATCCTGATATAGGATCTGAGTCAAAGGAAGCCCTAGAAGTCGCAGTCCCTGACCCTCTGCCCCTGTGCCCACAGCTGCAGACGGCTGGCCCCGAGGAAATGGTGTCTGAGAAGCCCCGTCTCGGCAGCCAGCAGGAGCCCGTGCAGGAAGATCCCCACCCGGACACTCGTGCCCTGAGCATGCCCGCCCGACGAGGCCCACGAAGTAAGTGTCTCTCGGTTCAGTCCAAACGGGGTTCGTTAAACTGCCTTCTGTGACGGGCACAGAGCGATACTGGGATTTTTTAATGGGTATTATTTTACATACACGGCCACCACCCCTCCACCCCACTTCACCCCAACTCTGGGGGTAATGTTCTAGGGGATAGGACACACAGCTTCAGCTGTGTATACAACCACATAAGATTGGAAGTGTGAATTGAAACAGAAATGGTGTGGGTAATCGAATATACGAACATTCGAAGGAGGGCGAAATAGTCAGGAAGGCAAATAGCAAAATGAAGTGAACTTGAATCAGATGTCAGACGACATGAGAGAGTTTCCCAGGCTCTCGGCCACCCGGCCCCTTGAGGACCCCGCACTGACCACTCCCCCACACACCCTCCCTTCTCCCTCCAAGGACCTTGGGTCCCACGACACAGTATCTGCTCTTTCCCGCTACAGCGAACTCAGTGGTTCTCCATTCATTGTAGAGAAAATGATTGCCCCTCGCTTGCTGCTTTTTGTGAAAAGTAGATAAGATGAGAGAAGTGTGTTATACTGTCAAATGTTGCACAATTGCTACACAGTTGTTACCCTATCTGCCAGTAGCAGAGCAGGAATAAAGTAACTGTTGTAAATTAAAGGGCTTTATACAAGCTCATCCGACCTCGTGGTTCTCATCTAAGAAGATGAAACAAATGAGTAAACCAGAACCAAAGAGAAACGAACTCTATCCCATAAAGTTGCTTCTTTTTCTAGATGCTCAAAATTACTCATTGTGGAAGACTGTAACTGGTCTTAGCTCAGGCTGCCATAACGAAACCATAACAAAATACCATAGACTGGGTGACATTTATTTTCTCGCCATTCTGAAGGCTGCAAGTCCAAGATCAGGGCACCAGCATGCTGGGTTCCCAGCGAGGCCGCCCTTCCCAGCTTGAGGGTGCCTGCCATCTGCCAGTGTGCTCACTCTGGTGTCTCTGTTCTCAAGGATGCTAATCCTAGTGTAACAGGACCTCACCTCAGGACCTTATTGAACCTTAATTCCCTCTCGTCTCCAAATACAGCCACATCGGAGGTTGGGGCTTCAACATGTAAATTGTGCTGGAACACAATTCAGTCCAGAGCATAACCATTGGATATTTAAGTCGTTATTTTAAAACTGAGGAGGGAAAGTCAGAGTAGGTGGCCAATAATAAAGACTCTGGCATGAGGCAAAGTGGATTCTTTTCTATGTTTCTTTAAAATGCAGAGTGACTAAGGTGTTTGAGAGAAAGAGAGATAAGAGATTTAATCAAAGCATTTGTCCCAAAATAAAATCGTATTATTTCTGATTTGGAGAAGAGGAGAATAACACAATGCTAAGATGTGCCTGCCTGAGCGAGGTCATGACCAGTGGTATCTGGGAAGCCTTGGGTGGAGCTGAGATCTGTGGTTGATTTGGCAGCACCGGATGGAGAGGAAACGTCCCTGGGAGTGAGGTGGGGGCAGCTGATGGATGAGAAGCCCGCGTGACCGGGCATCAGTCAGAAAGAGAGGTCAAGACCAGCAGAAGGCCATGCGGTCAAGAGAGCAGAACGGCCTTCACCGTTCTGTGGACACACATGAGAGCAAGGGACAGGCAAGTCCAAGGAATGACAAGTGCCGTGCGAAACCCAGCGAGGAGTTAGGGCGGGGGGCTCAGTGGAGATGCTAAAGGAATGGGGCCGATGGGTGTGTAGGGGTCTCTGTGCTAGAGTTTTGGGGGAAGAAGATTCTAGACAGACTGAAAATACGCAGATGTGTGCTGAAAACAGTGCATCCAGAGCAAGGTGGAAGCAGCCACGTCTTTCGCCGCCTCTCCTGGGAAATCACACACCATTGCCATTTGTCAGAGTGTGCCACTAAGTCCAGCCCACATTCAAGAGGAGGGAAGTTAGGCTCCACCTTTTAAAGGGAGATGCATTGATAAAACTTATGAAAGTTTTGAAACCACCACTTTCATCTTTCTTTAAAAGTCTTTATATCACTTTTCTACTCAGAAGTCTATAACAAGCATTGCATAAAATCCACACGCTTTTATTAGTTCTGGGTTCTGAGACCCTACGCAATCCGGTCCCCTCCCATTTTATTTCCACTCTTCCCCAATCTCTCTGCATTCTGGTCAACTGCTTACCAACCTCTGAATGTCCCATGACCACCTGAGGCTTCCCAGGCTTTGGTGCCCACGCAAAGAAAGTTCTCCATCCAACGCTTTATTACGCTTGTGACTGAGAAAGGCAATCAGGATGTAGCAGTCAAGGCCATCGGGCTTTGGTGCCAGATAAGCGTGGTACCCGTCTCTACCCGGCCCTTTCTTACTCGCTTGGGCGAGTTCGGCCACCTCCCTAAACTTCCGTTTCTTTATCTGCAAAATGGTGGCAAGTATACAATGCCTTAATACATCTGCAGCATTTATCCTCCAGCTGGGGGATGAGAGGGAAAAAGGGAAAACCGATGAATGGAACGTGAGAAGTAGACACTATGGCCAGTGACGAAAAGCGTTATAGAGAAAGATGAAGAAGAAGCTGGACAGGACTGGACGCGGGGCGAGAGGAGGGGGTACCGTTTGACTAAAAGTCGTCGGGGATGGGGCTGGAGCAGAAGAGTGAAGGAAATGAGAGATGCCTGAGGGAGGTGGCCTTAAAGCAAGAGAGGACTGTTTAAGGCAGAGCAAGGAGGGCCAGAGTGGCTGGCAGAGAATGATCAAAAAGGAGAAATGAGGTGACGAGGGAGGGAGGGCATTGTACCTCGCCTTGCGGGTCCTCGGACTTTCCATCCGAGTGAGAGGAGAGCCCCGGGAGCGTGGGAGAGACGAGCGCTCTGCTCGGACTGGAGGCTGAAGGCGGCCGTGCTGAGCTGGCTCCGGAGAGACCGCGTTGAGGGTGACGGCGAAAACCCAGGTGGGAGGTGGTTGGGGGCTGGAGCAGGGCAGTGGGGGAAGGGGTGAGAAGCGGGGTGGGAACCGGGGTATCTGCGAGGTGGAGCCAGCCGGGTTGACAGACCATTAGACGGCAGTCGTGAAGGTAGGAAGGACCACTCCAACACGCTTTTTGACTTGAGAAACTGGGAGCATGGAGTTGCCCCGGGCAGAGCGGGGAGAGATGGCGGGGGTAGAAAAAGGGAAGGACGTGCTAAGTCTGGGATCTCGTGGAGATGGACTGTGGAGATCCACAGGTCGCGGGGGAGGTGGAAGCCAGGGAGGCCTTCGCTGACCTTCCATCCTAAATGGCTCCTTCCCGCCCATCTCCTCCTCCATCCTCTCCTGGTTCATTTTCCTCACGTGCCCATCATTGGATTCAAGGACCAACGAGATTTTGCCACGTTTGTTTCAAGTATCCTTTTCCTCTGCCAAAATTTACACACACGCATATATATATTTGTATGCTTTTTAATCATGGTGGGAAAAAAGCACATGATATGAACTTATCCATCTTAATCATTTTTAAAGGTACAGTTCAGTGGAGTTAACTGGACTCATAATTGTTGTACGACAGCTCTCCAGAAACTTTTCATCTTACAAAACTGAAACTTTATATTAAACAAGAACTCCCCATTTCCCCCTCCTCCCGCAGCTGGCAACCACCATTCGGTTCTTCGATCCTGTGAATTTGACTGCGTTAGATATCTCAGAGAAGTGAAATCATACAGTATTTGTCTTTGTGACTGGCTAAATTCACTTAGCATAGTGTCTTCAAGTCATCCCTATTTGTAGCATGTGACAGAAATTCTTTCCTTGTTAAGGCTGCGTAATACGCCACGGTGTGTATAGACCACATTTTGCTTATCCATCCATCCTTCGTGTACATTTGGGTTGCTTCTACCTCTTGCCTATTGCAAATAATGCCGTCATCAACATCAATGTGCAAATATCTCTTCAAGATCTTGCTTTCCGTTCTTCCGGATATATGCCAAGAAGTAGGATTGCTGGGTCATGTGGTAGTTCTATTTCTAACTTTTTGAGGCACCTTCCTACCGTTTTCCATAGCGTCTACACCCTTGTACATTCCCACCAACAGTGCACGAGGGTTCCAGCTTCTCCACATCCTTGCCAACTTCTGTTACTTTCTGTTTGTCTGTTTTTCTAGTAGTCATCTTAATGTCATCTTTTGATTTGCATTTCTGTAATGATTAGTGATGTCAAGCATCTTTTCCTATGCTCATTGACCATCTGTACATGACGTTGGGAGAAATGTCTATCCTTTGCCCAGTCTCTGGTCAACTCATTTGTTTTATTGAATTGCAGGAGTTTTTTATGTATTCTGAATAATAAGCCCTTATCGGGAATAGGATTTGCGATATTTTTCTTCCCATTTCATAGTTTGCCTTTTTACTCTATTGATCATGTCCTTTGATGTGCAGACGTTCTGAAGACTGAGGTGGTCCCGCTTGTCTACGTTTGCTTTTGTTGCCTCTGCTTTTGGTGTCGCATCTGAGAAATCATCACCAAACTCAGTGCCATGATTTCCTCCATGTTCTCTTCTAGGAGTTTTATAACTTTATGTCTTACCTTTAGGTCTTTAATCCATTTTGAGTTTATTTTTCTAAACGGTATAAGGTAAGGGTCCAACTTCATTCTCTTGCATGCGGACAGCCGGTTAGTTTCCCAATGCCATTTGTTGAAGAAACGATCCTCTTCCCGTTGAGTGGTCTTGGCATCCTTGTTGAAAATCGTTTGACCATACACACGAGGGTTTACTTCATGACTTTCAAGTCTTGGAACCTTGAGCAACAACTTAATCTTCCTAAGCTACGGGAGCCTCGTTTACAAAGTGCCTGGGCTTCAGGCAGCTGTTATGGGGAAGAAACCAGATGATATATAGAGAGCGCCCCACAGGGGGCCTGGCACATACATCACAAGCTCCTCCAGATGAAGGAAGAACGTGATGCTAAATAACTAATAAGAATAATCATCTTTCTTGAGTGCTATGATGCCAAGGTCTTCATAAGCATTACATTATTTAATTCTCAGAATAGTCCTATCAT